ATTGGAGAAAAAACAAACATATGTGGTACCTGTTAGAAGGATATTTCTGTATTTAAAAGTGTAGTATCTAATATCTATGCTAACAAATACTGAAGTAGTATGTGGAATTCAAACATCGTACACAGATAACGGTTGATTTGGGTTCTTTTTATTTTCTATCAAATTCTTCAATATCAAAGAATCAAACTTTCAACAAAAGAAAAGACTAAATGAATTGAGGTTTTAATCAGACTTGTATTTAATAAATGTCACACAGATATCTATTCAACAAATACAACAATTATAAGGTATTGGAATTCTTGAATCATGGATTTTCTCAAAGAAATTTGTATCCCTGCGTTTTATCACTACTAAAGCACTTTCATCACATAATTTGAACTACTAAAATGATTTCGCTGGACTTTTCCAAATCCAATTTTAATTCCCAAAAGAATCCTTTTCTAAGGCCTTTTGATTCTTTATACAAAAATTGTCAAATTCCTTCTCTAGTTATCCATAACCTCAAGGGTTCAATTAGTAAGAATGCATTCACTTGATTTCCCAATTACAGTTCATGCAATGAATGTTCAAGACTCTTTCCCAAAAAAATTTATGTTCAATAAAAAGGGGGATTATCCAATCATTTTGAATTCCATATAAAGAGATTTAGCAAGTCATACTGTCAGTAAATGGAACAAAGAAACTCAATGCAACAAAGAACATTGTGCTTTCTTACCAAACCAAAACGTAAAAGTCGAGAATTACAAACCAAACTTCTTCAAAGTGAAATTGAAAAGGAAATTGAAAACTAATCACAATTACAGAGCTTGAAAGTTGAATACAGTTCAGTCTTGAATTCCTTCAAAAGGAAAACTATGCATGCACGTATATAACCAACAAAGCTAAAACTAAAATTCAAGAATTGCAAACAAACTTCTGGAAATAAAAAAATAAAAAAAATCTAACGAAGAGGAATTGCTAAGTAAGTTTTTTTTACAACAATCAGATTCTTATTTAACTAAAAACTAAAAGCTCCTAAAATGCCTTGCTATCCTTCAGATTAATCTTCATCCTAGGATTTAGATCTCTTTCAACTCAGCCAATTATTCATGTGCTCTTAATTCCTGCAATGGAGCGATAACAACAGTAAGTGAATTTATCTAAATCTCTTCTTTTTTATCTTTTACTTTCATGGGCTGATTTTTTCTACCTTTTGGACCTTTCATCTGTTTTATTAGTTCATTTACCGTCCAACAGGAAATAAAATATAGATAAATATAGATGTTTAAACAATCTAATTTAATACCTGGGCTAACAGTACCTAACAAAAAAAAGCAAAAAATAAAATGACATTATATATACATTTTTTGAGAATAGATGTCATAGCATAATTTCGTTCTGGTTGATATCATTTTGTAGAAAAGAAAAAGAAAATATATCATTGTTGTTCAATCAACCTAAATAGGTATGCAACACAAAAAAGCAAGCCTATATCTGTTGTAAAAGACTAATCAATTATGTGGTGTAGTGCTTCAGTTAATTATTCAAGCTTTACGTACATAGACCTACCCAATTTTCCCGTTTTAGGTTGCAATGTCGCTTTCTCGTGTGGTGTAGAGGTGGGGAGTTGACTGGTGAGTAGCAGAGTAGGTATGGGTTCAGGGAACTCATATCCAATTGTGGGAAGCACATCCAGATTCTCCGGGGGCATATTTTTTATTATATATATATATATCTTGGGATGAAATTTAATATTTTTTATTAAAACAAATAATGATAAAATTCTATATCACTTGATTATATATTTTGATATTTTTCTCCAAAAAAATATTTTGATATCAAATTAAAAATCAACTCTCTATAAAACTTACACTATCGAATGAAGTCACATTAATAATTTTATTATATTTCTTAACATCCATAATCATTACATTTTTTTAATTTATTTGTTTTTACAAGGTTTCAGTATGTTAGTCGCTGTCACTTAACTCCTCTCATGCTTAATTCCATAACATAAGTCTACAGTATATTACTATGCTCATAAGTCATATATGCCTACAGTAAAGTCCATGGCCTTAAAATTGGATTAACCCGATGGGATGTTGCAGAAATGTATGACGAATTTGTCTTTTGCAATCAGCAATGCTTTTGTTTCATATTTGTGATGCGTCCATTCGTAAATTCACCCATAAAGTGAATTGTAACCGTACATTACCTAAACTATGGCAACACCCAACACCAACACATCGCGTTTTCGGGTACGGTTTTAACCAAATAAACAACGATATGGAAAAAAAAATTAAAAAAAAAAAATGACGTATATACAAGGTCACACAAAGTTGCATATACTTCACGAGTTACAGGGAACTGCAATAAAACGGGCTTTTATGTAAGCCGAGCCTTTTTCAGTTGTTGGGTGGATCTGAAAGTTGCATCCTTAATAGATATTTTGAGGCTGCATATAAATTCACATTTAAAGCGTTGAAAATTAATTTTTCACCAAACAAGGTTGAGATTAATTCAATACAACTACAATTTCGGAATTAAATTGCTTTTTTAATATTTCCATTGTACGATACATAAAAAACTTCTGGCTAAACCTAAACCAATCGTCTCTCCTAATGGTATGGTCCGTAGGATCCGAAGTTGAGAGCTAGCCAGGGGCCTAGAGTTTGAGGAGCTATGGCTAGCTATGAATTATCTATGGAAAGTGGTCATGCCAATTAGCCATGGCTAGGGTTCTTTACAGTTTGAATAATAACATTATTTAATCATAGATGATTTCATCTCTTTTTATATATTTACATTTTAAACTTGTCAACTATATTTTATTCGAGGATATACCCCAATATGTGCGTTAAGTATTGTTCTTACCGTTATACATTGCAATTTGCAAATGCAATAAAAGTACAATGCTTCACAACATATGTTTTATTCCGATACTATATTATTATATGATTACTATATCTACGAAGATAAGAATTTCTAATTAATTTGTTTTTCAATATCTAAAATGCATATGCCCATACTGAGAAGCAAAATACAGCTATCTCATTCGTAGACATTTATATTGAACAGGTGTTACAGCTGCGGGTGCCTAGTTATTATCATTTAGTATCGGGTTGATGATTATTTTAAAGGATGTACGGAACAACAGTACTGAACAACCAAAACCACGTTTCTCGTGAATACCATACTTAATGATTACCAGCTGCACCATTTTACATTTATGAGAAATTATAGAAAATGAAAAGTATAATAAAAAATATTTAAAATTAGTTTAATTAAGTGATACAAATTATATAAGTATAAATAATATGAGATTATTATTGTTCATGTTGTAGAAAATAATTTTATCTTTTATATATATATATATATATATAAAAATATGTTGAATCTATATTTTTTTTTCTTTACATGATTCCACACACTTTTATATATATGTAAGTGATAATTTTATTTATTATAATATGAAATGCTAATCCCAAGTAATATATACATATACTTTTACAAGTAACATTATTTTCTTTTTATAAGTGCAAAATTTTCCCAATTCCTTCGAGACTATCAATAATCACTTATAATTATAATGCATACCAATACAATGCTTCCTTAGAAAAAATTGTGTGTGTGTTCTTTATTGTTTATTTTGTCCTTTTAAAGCATAATTATTTTAAAATTATAATTATAAAGATATTTTGAAAGATATTATTATACATAATTTGAGAAAATATTTTTACTACAAACAATATTTTGCTATTGCAAAATCCAATCCGAGCATACAGTGCAATGATAACGAACTTTTAGTCGGGAGTCACGGCAGTGATAAATGGTAACTTAGAATAGTAGCAAAATAAAATTGTCATCTAATTATGCGCCGGATGATAAGGTTAGTGACCGAGAAGAGGGAAAAAATTGAGATCGGAATGAGAAGGTGTAAGAGCAGAAGACCGGGGTCCCACTATGATTTCCCCTGTCCACTTCACGCCACCGTATAAGGGGATATGATATTAGATGATCAAGTTAAATGATAAAAATATTATAAGTTGCATCTATTTTATTCAAAAAATTTGTTATGTTTTGGTTCACGTCTCTACTGAGAAACGATAACATTTACTTTTTAAATCAAAGCAAATGTAACTATCATATATAATTATTTGACTAGGACGACGCTGCCTTGAGGAAGAAAAAAAAAAACGTAAGTTTAGAAGTAAGTTAATTATATTCATGGAGTCCTGCACTCAACTAGTTTCGTTAGGCTGTAGCATTTCTTCTTATTTTATAATTCATTGCATCAAAAAAATAAAGGAAAAATATGTGTAAGACATAAACTGTATCATTTCATAGACATAAATTGTGAAATTTACTAAAAAAAATAAAGGTGTAAGATTCATATCTCTTTATATCTATGAAATAACATAATTTGTGTTATTTAAATGACATTTTTTTTTCCAAAAAATTAATGAGTTATATTCTTTACATATTATGTGAAAGAAATCGAATTCCTAAACATAAAATTTCTTCTATTATACGTGATCGCACTTGTGATATTGTCTCTTTCTGATGTAGTCTAAGAAAATAATTTTCCAAAAAAAATATGTTAAGAATCTTTCTTTTATTTACTTGTCTTTTCGAGGGTTTTATATTTGTAAAGAAAGGAAAATATTTCTTGAGTCAATAAAGATAAAATTATCATAAGATTAAAAAAATTATAGCGATAAAAATTAATAAAACTCTGTAATATACTAAAATTACAAAAATACTTTAATTTTTATCTAAAAATTATTCATTTTAGACTCAACAAAAATAACTTATCTCTACTAAGTAATTTTCCTTGCAAAGAATCATATAATTACATAACAAAAAAATCTTTAAAACACATATTTCCATTTCTTTCGTGAATTTATGAAATAACTTTGAATTTTGACCCGTCAATCATTTTCCCTTGCTCTTATGAATTTAGAATCTCGCACGCAATAACCAATTATCCCGCTTGCTTTAATAAATTGCAATGTAATTTGTCATTTTCTTGCGCTCTCAACCACAATGGCGAAAGAGCTTTTGCAGCTTCCTCTGCTGCTTCTTCTTCCCCAACAACGGTGTCGTTTTGCAGTTCCTCTGCCAATGTCGAAGCTCTGACTCTCAGATTTGTCTCTTCCCTCTTCCTTTTGAATCCCTTCTCTCCGCTGAACTTGTTCTTACACTGTCTCAGGTGTGTTGCCTTTTTTTTTTTTTTTTTTCTTTCAAATGTTTTATTTCGTTTCTTAGATTTTTCCTATTTTTTGTTTTCTCTCCATTTTCTGCGGTTACTTCCATTTTACTATTTCCTTCTCCTGTACTTCGCTTCGCGAAATTCGTAGTCTGTAACCGCTTTTCTCACTCTGCATATTTCGCCAATGTTAGATTTTTCACAAGAAACATAGGTGAGGAAGCAAATCTTAGAACTCTCTCAGTCCCTCTACAATTTATATTTCTCTCTGTTTCTCGCTAATAAGTTAATGTAATCGATTGCTGCTTCTTTCCTATAGTGCACAGCATTACGATGCTGTATGCTGTATTGTAATGAGCATTGCTAAACCCGCTTTTTGACTATGCATTTATAACATGTAAATAAAAATAAAATGTTGATTGCCGATTATGTTGGGAAATTCGTTCCCTCAAACTCCAATGTCAAGCGGGAAATTCGTTCCCTCAAACTCCAATGTCAAGCGGGTCCAGGGAAAGTCCGTGGCGGGGGTCACCACCAATGAGCTAAGGCTACACCAACCTAGCAAGTGGATCTGACACCATGTCTCAACCCAAAACCTTAAGGCATTGGGTTCATGAGTCCTTTCACTTATATACTCTTCACTTAGCTCATTACCAACCAACGTGGGACTCATCACACTTGGATATCTCAACAATCTCCCCCTCAAGTGTGAAACCCACCATTGGTATGCTCTCCCTCAACCGAGTACCCGAAGCGCAAAGTACTCGATTCGCCTCCTAGCCAATCACTAGGCTAGCTCGAGCCCAATCCGGCTCTGATACCACTGTTGGGAAATTCGTTCCCTCAAACTCCAATGTCAAGCGGGTCCAGGGAAAGCCCGTGGCGGGGGCCACCACCAATGAGCTAAGGCTACACCAACCGTAGCAAGTGGATCTGACACCATGTCTCAACCCAAAACCTTAAGGCATTGGGTTCATGAGTCCTTTCACTTATATACTCTTCACTTAGCTCATTACCAACCAACGTGGGACTCATCACACTTGGATATCTCAACAGATTACTGTTTGTTGGTTTCTTTGTGGTGCGTAATCAGCATTGCGTTGCATTATGGTTTTCTGCTTTCTTGAGAAGGGAGAAAGAGAAAAGTTTGACTTACACGCATATGCAATTTTTGAGTAACCTCGTTGATACTTGATAGTGTAGTCTTCCTTATCGATCATTTTAGTTGCATTCCTTCTGATGCATCACTACATTTCAAAAATTGTCTTTTTAACTTAGAGCTTCGAGTTATGGTTTATTATTTTACCTTTTCCCCCTTTCTAATCTGTTTGAAAGGATCTAACATGCTTGATTTAGTCTGTACTTTGTACTCAGCAGAGGGAAATCTCTTACTTATTGATGACATGGAGCAGTATGAAATACTTGAGCAAATTGGAAAAGGTGCTTTTGGTTCTGCCCTTCTTGTGAAGCATAAGCATGAGAAGAAAAAGTGAGAATTTAAACCTACATTACCTTTTTCTTTTCTTTTCTTTTTTCTCTTAATGTCTGTATCTATTCATTTGTTCCTTTTAACTTCGTCTTGTGAATTATATAGATATGTGCTTAAGAAGATTCGCCTTGCCCGCCAAACTGAGCGCTCTCGTAGATCCGCACACCTGGAGGTTTGTGCTTAGTTGTGTTTTAACAAGTGAACTAAATGAACATCTTGTGTTGTTTTCTTTTTTCTAAAATCTCCCTTTCTTTGCTTGGGTTCTGCTGCATGGTTCCTGCCTTCCTGGTGCATTTTGTTTGTGTTCTAGATGAATTTCATTTGTTAACAGGCCAAGAGAAGTTTCAAACCTCAATATGAAATAAAATGGATTCAGGCTGTAAATTTAACAACCTCTGATGACTCAAAATTTTGTGGATATGATTCAGGATGTTTTTCATTTCTTTTTTTTCTTTTTTTTTCTTTTGGTCTGTGTAGATGGAGCTCATCTCCAAATTAAGAAATCCTTTTATTGTGGAGTATAAAGATTCATGGGTTGAAAAGGTATGGTGCTTCTTGACTTCTACTTCTCTTTACCTCCTCAGTTAAGCTTTCCCTAATAAGCTTTTTTTGGAAGTTGCTATTAGAGTTATCTACATTTGTATCATAAAATATTTCAAGAATTTTTAACTCTTGAACTTGGTCTTATGCTATGCTAACCCTGAATATATTTTTTCTTTGGTTTCATTTGCCGTAATAACTGATAACAATAGACTAGTGTCAACTTTGATGGGTAAGTATGTATCTTCAATGAATATTTAAAGTAATGGTGACTAACAGTAACAGACTAAGTCATATAGCATTGTTACTAGTTAAGATTTAAAAGTTCATTTTCTTTCCAGATTATTGCTTCGGCTATTTCCTTCTATTATTACAGTTTTTCTTTATTGCTGATTGGTGGTGGATGCCATATTGACTAATCACAACTGCTTCATGCTGGTATATTTTGATGTCTTCCTTCTCAGGGTTGCTATGTGTGCATTATCATAGGTTATTGTGAGGGTGGAGATATGTAAGTTTCCTTTGACAAATTTTTACTAGCTTATAATTTATGTTTCAATATTCTTTCACTTTGTTATTTTTATAATTGGCTCATTGATGTTTTTTTAAATGCATTATTGATGTAACACAGGGCGGAAGCTATAAAGAAAGCTCACGGTGTTATGTTTTCTGAGGAGGTTATATCTGATTTTTTTTTCCTTACAGAAATTATAATTTTTCTTTATACATTTATTTTCCTTTGAACAATAACATTCATCTTTAAAATAAATGAGATAATATCTAAATTTGGACATTTAAAATCTGATTGGGTCGTTTGTTTGCAGAAACTGTGTAAGTGGCTTGTTCAACTTCTTATGGCACTTGATTACTTGCACATGAACCATATTCTTCATCGTGATGTTAAGGTTAGCAGCGGAGTCCTCTTTGTTCCTAGGGACACTTTTTCTATCTAAATTCTGTTCAGCCATATACTAATGAGAAAATCATATGATTCTATCAGTGCTCAAATATATTCTTGACAAAAGATCATGACATGGTTCTTGGTAAGATATATTCTATCGTTCCTTTAAATAAAATACAGATGGCTAAAATTTTGCTCACTAGTGATCAATGATGAATCAGGTGATTTTGGACTTGCCAAAATGTTGACTTCAGATGATCTTACTTCCTCTGTAAGAAATACTTCTTCTATGAATTGAGTTTACATTCCTGATTATAACTTTTGTACAGTAATCATGTACAAGAGTTGATGTCTTGTAATTTAGGTTGTGGGAACTCCTAGCTATATGTGCCCTGAGCTCCTTGCTGATATACCTTATGGTTCTAAATCAGATATTTGGTCCTTGGGTTAGTACTCATGCATTATGGTTATTTTTCCTTGATGATTTTTTTATTATCTGGCTGATTATGTATTCTTGATCTCTGAAATTGGTTACTCAGGATGCTGTATATATGAAATGACCTCGCATAAGCCTGCATTCAAAGCATTTGTGAGTCTTCTTTTTTAATTAGGGGGTTTCTTTGTCTCTATCTCATCTTCGTGGAAAAATATTTAACACCTTCATCACTGCTGTCATATTACCAATTTTCAGTTTGTTATCAATCAGATGCTGATGATTGCATATCAATTTGACTATCATTACATTACCTTATTTGCACATGTATTTGTGTTCTGTGGACTATCAATCTGGTCAAATCCTATAAATTTACTATCTCCGTATCTGCGTTAGCATTTGATATATTTTGAACTTCTGCCAATTTTTTACTATGATTTTCACAATTGATTATCAGCAGCACTCATTTAGCAGCATGGTTATACTTATTTTGTCTCTCAGACTTGAAAACTACTCGCATTTACTGCTTTTCATATCTTTTCTGCAAACTTAGCTTTATGAAGTTGTATGATTATCTTTCAATTTCTTTGAACAGGATATACAATCACTGATTAACAAGATTAATAAGTCTGTAGTGGCTCCGCTGCCAACAAAATATTCTGCTGCATTGTAAGTCCTTCTTCTTTTCTTCATATATTTACTTGGGCCATTATTGCCAGTTACTAATTGCATTGTCATGTCTTAACACTTAAAAAAGATGTCCTTAGCTAACATCTATAGATAAGCCCAAGGTCATTGAAAGTGAGGTTTCTTGTAAATTTATAGTAATCAATTAGTTATGAACTGTAAGATTGATCTAATCATATTTGTTTTCCCTCTTGACAGTCGAGGTCTTGTTAAAAGCATGCTGCGGAAAAATCCAGAGCTTAGGCCTAGTGTATGTATAAGAACTCTCCTCTGACCTGAATAATTCAATGCAATGTGCCGGTGCTGCATCTAGTACCATGTCTATATTGCTTTGTGATTGAATTAACTGTAGGATAGATATATCATACAAGCATGCAATTCAAATATTCTTATTTGCTTCACCAAATTGTGTTTCCTCAACATTGCTGGGATTATGCCAACCTTGGATTTAACAGGAGGATTTGCTTTCTGCTTATCCTATTGGGATTTGGAACTCTAAAGTGATGGTTGCACTTTAAAGACTAAGTGCAGTGGTAATCATGGATGAGGAAATCAAGGGAATACATTTTCTCATATCCATGATCTGTTATCCTTGTGATTTATAAAATTTTAAACCGTTAATTTTATCATCAACCGTTATCAATCCTGCATTTTATTCGTTAAGGTGTATTCCTTACTTTAGAGGATCTAAATCCATCCTTTTGGAGATGGGTTGGGTTGGTGATGGATTCCACATTAAATGTTATGGAGATTTTTCATTTCTATATTAACAAGAATTCTACCTATTCTCCTTTCATAAAACAAATCTTCCATGGTGCAAAAGAATGATTCTGATTTCTTCATTGAATCAATAAGAAACAGGGCACTAAATGGGAAATCTATCTAACTAAATGAGTAGAGAAGAAGTACATAAACACTTGTAATATTTTAAAGAAGTCTGCTGAAATTTAATAAACTTTGCAACAAGCATTTCTACATTATCTGAAGCATATTTACTTTGTTTGGGTAGATTTAATGATGTCTGGTTGACAGAGAAATTGGAAAACTATTATTTGTGTCCTTAAACGTTTCAAGTTCCGCGACAAAGATTATGAAGTGATGTTGGTTGTGAAGGTGTCTTCTGTAACCATGCTTTCTTTCTTACATTGTTTCATGTGCTTTTGGAGGCAGGCTGCAGAGCTACTTGGGCACCCACATCTTCAACCTCATGTTCTTAAGATCCATCTCAAAATCAATAGCCCCAGGCGAAATACGTTGTCAGGTCATAGTCCAGAATCCAACTGCATGAAGAAAACTAGATTTTTGAAGCAAGATGATCCTGTTTCTATCCCTGGGGATAAATGGTATTCTTTCAGCAATGATCGGACTTTAAATCCTAGTGTATCTGGAGCAGACCAAGATTCTCTATGCTCTACCCTAGAAATAAATTGTACTCCTGATCATTTGAATCAAAGATTAGCTGAACTGTGTGTTGGAGATAGCCATGAAGTGAAGTCAATCCATAAGCCAGTTGTTTCCAAAACTCCTAGTATTGCCAAGACTCCTAGTCCTAGACCCACTTCATCAAAAGCTTCTGCCACCCCCAAGAAATCAATGGAATCCTCAAAAAATCATAACGCGGTAAGGCAAGCTGGAGTCAATCATGTTTCAATGTTTGACACATCGTATATCATGAAACAAACTCAAGCATGTCACCTTTGTGAAGTGGGTAGTTTCACAATGAATTACTGTTTCACGTGTAATGGTATTGTTCAATTAAGAATTTTAGATGTCTGACTTTTTAAAGTTCATGGTTGCAGCTTCCTGTTTCACGCAATACCAAACAAACTGTCCATACGATTCGCAGAGCATCATTGCCGTTGCCAAGAAGTAGTGCCGTTCGGCAGCCTCCTCGCAGGCCCAGTATTGGTTTTCTTGGCCATTTAAATTCGCCCAATATTTCAGTTAACACACCCCGTATTGATAAGATAGCAGAATTCCCATTAGCATCATATGAAGATCAATTTCTTCCCATCAATAGACCTTCACCAACATCTGCGAAGGGTTCCTCAGGCTCCCCTCCTTGTGGCGATGATTCAACTTTGATAGACAAATGCACAGTTGAGGTATGTGACAGAGCCTACATCAAACCTAGTCGTACTGATGCCTGGCGGGGAATCAAGCGCAGCATGTTCAAGGAAAATGAAGAGGACAAAAGTGACTCATCTGATCAACATGCTACTGCTGGAGCATCTAGCCACAACTCTTCAGACTTGCGCCGCCGGCAGTTTGATACTTCATCATTCCAACAAAGGGCTGAAGCTTTAGAAGGATTGCTTGAATTTAGTGCGAGATTACTGCAGCAGGAAAGGTATGGAGAACTTGGTGTTTTGTTAAAACCGTTTGGGCCCGGGAAGGCTTCCCCAAGGGAAACTGCTATTTGGTTGAGCAAGAGTTTCAAAGAGAACACTTTCAATCGGGAACAATCCGCTTAAAGTGCTGCAATATCTTACGTAGTCATGTTTGTAGAGTTCGGTGTTTCTTTCTTTTCACACGGTAACATTTAAACAGCTGATTTTTGTAGGTGACATCTTTTTTTCATTTACCCCACTTCATTTTCACTTTACTGAGTAATGATAACTCAAGCTTTTAATCTGATGAATGAGGAAATCTTTTCATGACAAGATAGCATTAGCTGTTTGACCACAGGAAGTAATTAAACTAATAAATTTAGTAACAATGTCAAAAAATTTCTTTTACTACATGGCAGTCGACTGCTTCTGTGTTAATGCTTGTGTTATCCGTCTGGCTTGCTACCATACACCTCGCTTCTGCTACTAGTTTTTGGTGGGATAGGTGATGAAATAGCGTTGCTCAAAATAAAAAATGCCACAAGCATTGTGAAGTATGATAATAGATGACTTAAGCATTAATGTTCAAAATTGAATTGTTTGCTTGTTCTGTAACTTAGCAAGAGAATTCAGTAGTAGGAATCGCTAGTAACCGTGCTGCTTCCAAAGGAATCGCGTTTGCTGTCCTTCGTTGACCCATGAAGGTTAGTAACCCAATGGTCCAGGCTTCCAGGATCGAAGCGTAACGAGTTTGAGAACAGATTTTTCCTTGGAGCATTCAACGGAGATCCTACAGACTTGTTTTTGTGCCTCGTTCGTTGTCTTGGTTCACTCTGAGACCTTGATTTTGCCCTTGAAGATTCAGTCTTGTTCATATAATTTGGCGACCATGATTGACGGTGAGGCACTGGGTGGCGCTGAGAATCTGATAAGGCCACTGCTGTTTGGTTGAATTCATACATGGCCCCGTAATTTCCTGAGCTATTTGGTGCTGTGATTAAAGCATTCTCGTATTGATTTTCTCGTTTTGAAACTGATGGACGTTTTGAATATAATGTCATGGAATCATGCTCTCTGCTCTTAACATATGAACCATCTAGAGGGCCACTTCTACTTTTCAATACCTCCAACATTTCTTCCAGACTCATATCCTTTGAATCCTATACATAATAACCATATTACAGACATTAGCTTCTCATTGCAGCACAACAGAACATGTAACTGAGAATTAGCCAAAAACTTTATTGGGATGAATTTTGGATAGGATTTATATCTAAGTTGAATATAATGGTTTTATTACTTGAATAATCATACTATGCCAATCTTCAGATGATAACATTGGGAATATTTTTGCAAAGGCTTACTTTATTTTCTGTTATGAGACCTTTGAAGCGTAGAACTTCTCCGCGTTGGGGAGGCTGATTTCGGAGGAGATTTGCTTCCTCTACCATCTGAATTCTGTGAATTCGAGCTCTAACTTGTATGGCCATCAACGCATGCATGCCACGCAGGGTAGCAGTTGCTTGTTTCCTTACAAGGTGACCCCTCACTAGCGCCTGTATCTTGACTAATCCTCTCAAAGCATGCAATGCTTTCTTGGCCTGAAAATTTGCATGTAGAACCACTAGGGTTAGCCTAGTGGTGTGGGGTGTGTGTTTTAAGAGTGTGTGTAGTGTAGGGTGTTGTGTTCAATTCCTTGTAACCTCAAAAAAAAAAAAAAATATTTGCATGTAGCGAGTTCATCAAGCCTATTCCAAATGTCTGAGTCTATGAATAGGATGTAATAAAAACTATTAAATTTATGAAAAGAGATGTCTAGCAAGATGTGACCATAAAAAACTTGATGAGTATAGAGAGAGAGAGAGAGAGAGAGATTTATACCAAATATGAGCGAAAGGCAGCCTGAATCTTTGTAGCAGCTGTGTTTTCAAATTCAGTGTCTTCAGAAACCTTTGTCAGTGCTGTTGGAAGACACTTTGGAGTCTGAGTTTTCAACAAGGCTTTTATTTGCAGTTTTGCAGATTCATCTGAGTCAAAAGATCTGGAAAATTTATGCCGAGTTACCTTGCTTGTTATTCTTCCACCTGTTAGTTTTCCGAAGCTCCATCTGCGCTTCACTTTGGGACTCACCATTTGACCACTCATATTCTCGGGGCAGAATGTATCAATCTTCTTGAATTTCTCTTCCTTTCTCCCTAGAAGAAAGTTTCTAATCCATTTCCCTGCCTTTCCCATTTCTTTTTCTGTTAATAATGGAACCTGGCAACTAAACAAGTCAGAAAGTCAGAGAGGTTTCTATTTGCCTCAAATATCCAGAAACAAAATTAGATACACGTAAGAGAGCAAATATTCTTTTTTTTCATGTGTTAGTTTTAATCTTGTTACATATGTATTATATATGGTTATATACTGCACTCTTCAACTTGTTCAGGATGCTCTTTCTGGGTTCTTGTGCTGGTATTTAACTATTTAGTACTGGCTTTGGCCTGCAAAGCTTCCCCTGATAAAGCCACTTGCCACCCTCGTGGAGTTTCCTAAATATAATTCTGGAAGCATTACACTTCAACATTGCCTCAGCTTGATTGTCAAGAGCTGTAAATTTTTCTTACTATAGTTCAGTAATTTTTAGGTGACCAAGCTGTTAAAATTAAAAGATGTTTCTTATCAGGGTCTACTAGCTTATTGGAATCAAAGTTATCAAACGTGGATTGTAGCATGTCGCGGCCAACCCTAAAAAATGCTATAGCGGGTTGCGGTTGCGAAAATAGCGAAATAGATATATGACAAAAAAAAAAGACAGAGATAGCAGAAGTGACCAAGAGAGACGCAGATAGACTAAAAAACCCTTAAAAAAATTTGTTACGTTTAAATTTAGAACAAAATTGATATTTTGCCTTATGATAACAATATGGTCGTGATTTGGCTTCAAATTTGATCTCAATAGCAGTTATTATGTTCCAGTGCGACGCAGCGCAGTTTCTTGCAGTACCGCAACGTCCGTATGGCGCAGCTCGCTGCACTATTGCGGCGCAATTAACTATGATTGGAATAAATTCAAATAATCAATGACAATGCCTCTCTGTAGAAATAAGAAGGTAGAAACATCATTGTTATATAACCTTTTTAGTTCCTCTGAAGTCTGAAGCTTAATCCGAGATCCAAGGGCCACACATGGCTTGCACGCAAGTGCTAAGGCTACACGGGTTTAAGATGATAACATTCTTTATTCTATCAATGGTCCATATTATTAGATGAATAAGAGAAAGATGTTCGAACGTGGTATTAAATTGTTTACTTCAACTCAGTATCTCCATCTAGAATTTAATGTTGAACATAAATAAATTAACGCGAATTACTTAAATATGTGTTTTGACTTTGATCTTATAGTTATTCTGTTGTACTCTTTTGGGTTTGGCTTTGATTTAGTCAAGGATGTGAAGCGTTAGCTACCCCGAAAGTAGAAGATTCCAAGAGCCTTTCACATCAACCGATTAAAAGAAATAGTGTTAATATTTAATTATTATAACTTCTTGATGAAGAAAGAGAGACGATAGAAAAAAAGGGTAAAAAATTGTGCACTTGATTCGTTATCTCTGTTGTCCTGTTTATGTCTATGTTTCCTTGTTCTCGTTCTCTATCTCGACTAATTCTTGTACCATTGCAATTAAAAAATGAAAGGTCTTTTGCCTACTTTTCACTCTTCTAGATGACAAATGTTTGAATCCTGGGGCAGCAGGATAAGAAATTTGGTCATAAAAATAGTAGTTTTTGGCAATTTTCCTTCTTATAAATTAGTAAATTACGTCAGCGTTTTTTTTTTTTTTTTTGAATTGATAAAATTACACAATAATTATATTCTTCATATCGCCTTAGACAATTTTTTTTTAAGTTTTAAGAATTCCACTTATTAATATGTTTTTAGTAATGAAAGAAGCACCCTTATTCTCATGTTCTATTTCATAGTGTCTTTAACTATTTTTATCTTTGAAAATCACACTTACTCTTTTTACTGTGTATTTTGCGTTTGTACAGAAATGATAAATGCGTTTCAAAATAAAAAAACTAAAATAAAATAACAACTTTATTAGATAAAAGTTTAAAAGGTAAGAGAAGTTTAAATGTGTTTGTACAGAAATGATGCCAATTTAATTTTATTAGATTTTAAGAGATGAATTGCAATTTACCCAATTCGATAGTAATGCTTGTTCTAACGTTGAATAAATATTGCAGTAAATAATATATGTTTGCTCCAGTAAACAAGTAAAATGGTGGGTCTCCGTTAGGGAATTTTTTTTGCTTTTCTTTGACGATGAACGGCGCATCGATAGCATCAAAGGTTTGCTGTCCGTAACGGAAATATTTAATATGATTCAGGTTTGCTGTTCTTTGGATCCAAACAAATGAAAATTAAATATTTTCTGACTTATTTATACGAAGGAGAGAGAAATGTTCTTTTTTTCTCTAAGTGTTAGCTACTCAATGAAAGGAGTAGCTGTGCCAGACTACTACAAACGCTATCCTCCGTTAGATGGTAAAAAAAGAAAGAAAATATTTAAAAAATGATAGAATTGAAAACAAACAAATTTATAATTTATATTGCAAGTGTAAAAAGAAAAAAGATGTTATGTCGTTGCATTTTGACTTCTTTAATATTTTTGCTTTAACTCTACCTCAATAATTAACCAGAATAAAATCAATATTAACAAATAATTATTTATTAACATCATAAAGTATGAAAATAATTATCTTTAAAATTAAAAAAAAAAATTCATTTTTCATAATTTTATATAAATAAAATTAAAATCCAAATTAGCTAAACAAATGATAGCCAAAATGATCCGCCGCAATTTCATGATCCAAAAGTTTGCTCTAGGAATGCAAGGATTGTTACAAAATTCAAAATTTTATTATATTTGCCACTTTGATATACATTGGAACAACCCAAATCCTACTCCGATCATCGTTGTTGTTGTTCTTCTCTTTTTCTTCGTGTACAAGTCTCAGTTATTAGCCAAATTACCATATGGGTCCCTGCATTGTTATTGGTCATTCTGGCCATGCTTCTCATGCTGCTGCTACCCATCACTGCTAAAGGGGAGGCTGTTAAAGATTTTTTAGGTGCTTAAATCCTCTCTTTCTCTTTATCTATTTATATATCTAATGCATGGATATGAAATGGTAATAATTTCGCGCATACTTAAACTTTGACGCTTGGATAATACATATGGGTATTACAGACCAAGTTTGTGAAGAGGTGGAATGTGGAAAGGGATGCTGCGTGGTAAATACAAAGTTACCCATTAAACTTCATCTGTGAATGTCAATCTGGCAGGAAGAGAACCCGAGACGGCGACAGTGATACATATGCTACTAGCTTTCTTCCATGTGTCATTCCCGAATGTAAAGTTCACTCTCTTTATTTGCCATCATTCTTAGTAATTACTTTGCTCACTCAGTTTTGAGTTTCAACTTTCCACACTTTGATGGTTAAAACTTAAAAATCCACACAATAACTTGTCAAGACTTCAATCAAAATCGCCTCTTATCTTTGAACTAGTCTGAACTACGGTTGCCAGCCAGCTCCACCTCCAGTTCCGGACAAGGATTTTCCGCATAACATTTCAACTTTAGATCGTAAGTAACACCAGACTACTTGTTGCTCATGATTATATTGCTCATATGCTTATTAAAACTACTGAAAGCTTTGATTACAGAGGTTTATGTCTTTGTTCTAACCATTTTTTTATGTGAAAAAATATTGAAATACATTGTAGCTTGCTATCGGGGGTATTGTGGGGTTGGTAGGGGTACCCCAATTACTTCAATCTTCTCAACATCTCCGTTTTTCCTTATTACAGTGAATGTATGAAATCCAAAATAAATTTTTAACTTGACATATAGTCTATAAAATTGCGGGGAATATGAACAATAATGAAATAGTTTCTGTTCTGGGCATTTAATTGCTTAGGTACTCTTGGAATTAAAGTTGCGAATTCTTAAACTGTTTAATTCTTATATTTATTGTAAAGTTATCAATGCAGATTGCGGCATGTCGCGGCCAACCCCAAAAAATGCTATAACATCATAGTGAGTTGTGGTTGCGAAAATAGCGGAATAAATATATGACAGAAATAACGAAAAAAAAATATTTTTTAAAGGCAGCAATAACAGAAATGACCAGAAAGAGACACAGATAGACTAAAAAATCCTTAAAAACTTTCTATTACACATTTAAATTTAGGAAAAATTGACACTTTGCTGTTATCAAAAAAAAAAAAAAAAAAAAAAATTGACACCGTTACAGCAATATGGCCGCGATTTGCGATCGCAATGGCCACTATTGCGTTCTAATACGGCGCGAAGCGGTTTCTTATGATAAAACACCGCAACGCTCGTATGACGCGGCTTGCGGCACTATTACGACGCAATTGAATCAAATTTCTATTTCATTTTTCTTCTCCTTGTTAATCTCCATACTAAATATTATGAAGAATCACATTTACATTCAGCATGACTTTCATTTCATTTACTAAATATGAATCATAATCATATCACATTGCTTCCATCCAACTTAAACTTATTATAAATTCACTAGGGGATAGGAATCCAAAACAAAAACAATAGATAGATAACGTCAAAAAATAATGAGAAATGCACTTCACTTGTTCTTGACTTCAACACCGGTCTTGCCAGCAATGATGACAGAGGTGGCCATGTTCAAGAACAAGCCATGCTCAACCACACCTTCCAGAGCTGAAATCTCAGATCCAGCAGCCAAGGCATCTCTGATTGGAGTCTTGAAGTACAAATCAACGATGTAATTCGAATTATCAGTGACGTAGGGTTTCCCACTCTCATCCAATCTCAATTTGGCATCACAACCTTCTTCATTGAACAATTCCTGAAGCCTAATCAAATTGTATTTCCAACAGAACTGAACAACCTCCACCGGCATAGCAAGCCCACTCCCACCCAGCCCCGTCACCAATTTCGTGTCGTCAGCCACCACAACGAACTTATCCGACGCAGCCTCAACCATCTTCTCTCTCAGGAGGGCTCCGCCGCGACCTTTCACCAGGTTGAGGTCGGGGTCAACCTCGTCGGCGCCGTCGATGGCCAGATCCAGACGGGGATTGTCGTCGAGGACGGAGAGAGGGATGCCGAGAGACCGTGCTTGCTCTTCGGTGCGCTTGGAGGTGGGGACGCCGACGATGTCCTTGAGTTGGCCGGAACTGAGGAGCTGGCCTAGCTTGGCGACGACGAAGGCGGCGGTGGAGCCGGTGCCGAGGCCGAGGACCATTCCGCTCTTGACGTACTCGACGGCTTTGTCGGCGGCGAGTTTCTTGAGGTCGTCTTGGGTGAGGGTGATGGCTCGAACGGAGAGTGGGGAGAAAGGTCTTTGAAGGTTGGTGCGCAGTTTAAGGGATTTGGGGGTGCGTAGGATAAGGTGGGTGGAGGAGGCATTGTGGTGTGATGATGAGAGTGATGGAGGCGATGGCGAAGAGAGGGATAAGGAGGCCATTGACATTCAACAATATAACAATAGTTTTTGTGTGTGTGTGTGTGTGTGTGTTGAGTTCAGTTAACTTCACTTTGCTAATTGCTATCTTATATCTTTGGTTTGGTTTGGTTGGTGGTGAGTGAGAGTGTGAGACTGAGACGCAGACCGCAGCTTAATTTGGCTCTTCCTTCAACCCTCCAATCCTTCAATAGTGCTTGGATTTTACTTTTTTAAACGAAATTGGATATTCCTTTTCTACAAACATGCTCCTCGTTAGGGGTGTAAATGGGCTGGGCTGGGCTTTGGCCATCCTGGCCCAAGCCTACGTAAAAAAAAATTCAGCCTATCTGGACTACTGGTCTATTAAAGGCTTTATCTGTAGGCCAAGCCCGGCCCATTTTCAAAAATAAGAAAGTCAGACATGGCCTACAAGCCTTGTAGGCCTCCCACTATATATACTAAGCAAAAAAAATAATTGTAGTAAAGAATGTTCCATTCATGCATGCACTAGTACTTCTCATAAGAAAAAAATGACAAACAAGAAAGAGTCAACATAATACCTCAGCTCTAGAATGTATATCATAGAGGAATAAAGTCAAAGAAATGGGAAAAATAAGAAAAATACAATTACTGGATGCTGAAATAAAGTCTACAAGAGAATGTCATTCATCTAAAAATCTTTAAACCACCATCAAGACAAGGGAAAGAAGAGTATTATTGAAAGATCATCATTAGTAACATCATAATCCAGCAAGGTACCCATTGCTCTATGGTATTAAGCTGCAACAACATGTAAAATTTGGAGACATTAGACAAGTTTTCCTTTCATAAAATAAAATAGCACAAAAAGTAAGAGATATTGGTATTTGGTACTTTGTGTCTTTGCCACATAAAATAAATATTATTTTATTATTTTATTTTAATAAATTAAATAGGCCAGCCTACAAGGCTGTAGGCCGGGCTTGACAAAATTAGCCTATGGCCTATTTATTAAAAAAGCTTTTTTATAAGCCTAAGCCTACTCTACTTTTCTAAAAGGCTGGGCCTGGGCTGGGCTCAATGTAAGCCGGGCCGTAGGCTGGGCTGGGCCAGCCTGGCCCATTTACACCCCTACTCCTCGTCCTCCTTCATTCACCTACCTATTTTTTCTTTTTTAAACTTTTTTATCCCAATTAATTAATACTTTTACTCGTTTTTCATCATTCTTTTTCATTTCGTGTATCCTTTATATCTTTTATGCAGTACTGATCAAATTAATATCAAAATCTATTAATAAAATAATAAATTATCCATAACATTATTTGAATTAATAATTTTGCTCGAATTCAATACATTAATACAGAAAGTATGTATACTTCACAATTTAAATTTCTCTTCTTAGATAGTTATTTGAGTTGAAATAAGTTTGGAGAAATTTGTTCTACACATGGTATAGTAAGCACGTACAATTTCATGGAGCCAACCTCACAACCTAGTTAGGGTTAAAGAAAATTTAGTTGGTGCAAAATATTAAATCGTGAAAAGTTATTTAATTACAATTAATTAGCCACGGTTAAAATGTGACTAATTTTTGAAATTTAGCTCGCGCCAAGACCCCGTGCAATCATGCATAACGTGGTTCCGCCACTATTAAAATTTATATTATATTGCCAATTCAAAAGGGTTCTACAATGGGAATGAAAGTACATTTTTTTTGTAATATTTTTTTAATATATTTATTGATTCATCAATTATTTGACTAGTACAATCCGAGAACCGTCAATTTTGAATAATTTTAGATCACAGAAGCTATGATCACTATTTTGATGAACTATGTGATACAATATCATATATTAGAAAAAAAAATATTTTCTCATGTTATAAAAGAATTATTTTCTCTTATTAGTGATACGTCGATTTTCGTGTAATATTTTTTAATATATATGGATCCCACATAAAATATGTCTATAACATAAGAAAATTGAAACCCTTAAAACTAACCCAATATGTTACCATTGAGGAAGTTATGACCATGGAGTCACTGTCCAAAACAAAAATTGAAAAGATATTTTATTGCTCTATAGAAAAATTGCAACAGAGTTTTTTTTTTAATTTCTAATGTATAAATTATGCTTGTTTACATTTTGCGTACAAATCTTCTTCTGATTGACACTTAGATTTTGTATTTGGGGATGATTACATTGTACACTAATTTTATCAGTTAATATGTTGAAGAAAAGGAAATGGATGAAAAAAAAGAAAGAAAAAGATTACACACTTATGTAAATTATATTTATTTAATGGGTTATGTTTATCTCATTTTACATGAGATAAACATCTTTCCTACACACACAAAAATGGTTTGGGTCCCACCACTTTTTTTTTCTCTCTCCTCTTACATGTGGGTCCCACTTATACTTTTATTTCTACAACATGAGGTAATTCTTTTCCTACAACATAAGAAAAATATATCCCTTATTTAATTTGCATGACAGCCTATGTATTCATTCGAATTGCATGTTTATCTATTTTATGTTATCAAAATTACTATATTATTTAATCACATATAATTATACCATTAAAAGAAGGGAAATGATTTTCTCCTTCAATAGATGACAAGAAGTGCTTCCTGCACACACACACATGGAGATATGTGTCAATATTTTTTATTTATTTTTTTGAAACGATGGCCCCACTTTTTATTTGAGTAGGAGATAAATTTTCGTTTTGTGTAGAATAAGAAAAGTTTTCCCCTTAAAAGAATTGGAATTGACATGAAAATAAAGAGATATTTTACGCACTTCAACACAACACTGTACACACGTCCGCAATTGTATTATGCTGCTTTCACGTGATTTGTTTTTTTTCCAATTTACAAAAGAGAATATTCTTTCTTTGGAATTGTTTGACAACCAAAATTTAGAATTTGAAGGTAATAAGAGCACGATTTCAGACGAAAAAACCACTAGGCCCTTTCTGACCATATTGATTTTAGTGCAGGTAAAAAAAGCTTATAACGTGCCAAATAACACGATGTACTGAAGCAATATTCAAGAGGGCCACCGATGTGATTTTCAGTTAGTTACTGGTAAGGCAAATATAGCTCAAGAAATGCTTGTGTCTGTACATTCACCTTCACAATGCCCAAAATAAAGCTTAGCATGGGCCGAACCATATTCAGTTTTTGTATAATGCCCAAAATAACCCTTTAATTTAATTTAATTTTTTTATTTTTTTGTCATCAAATGTAATCTGCTCAACTCAACTCAACTCAGTTGACATTTTACCAATATTTGATGATGTTTTGGCATAGAGGTCAATGCTACCAATTTGCAGCCGGGAAGTAGAGTGAATATCTCTGACTGCCAGAAACCTAAACCTGCAAAGGCATAACTTTTATGAATTGGGAGAGAACAAGAACAAGAATTATAAAACAGAACAATCGAAGTCTTAAATTTCATCTTTATATATAAATAAATAATTCATTTTGTTCAAATGTTTTGAAATTCTTAATAATTAGCTATTTATTTATGAGTAAAAGAGTATATTTTATTATAAATGGGTTAAAAAGATCAGCTTAAACATTAGTTTTGTTTAAATTATTTTAATTGAAGTGATTCCATTTAGCATAAAACATTATACTATATATAATTAATAATTTACCTGAAAACATTAGATGGAAAACTTGCTGAGTTGATCATGTATGTTCTACGCTGGAAACGGTCTTCGAAGAACTGAGAGGTTTGCTTGTCCAAAACTTGCCAGCTGATCCCCTCATCATTGCTCCCTTCAAGAATCCTGGGAACATAACATATGCCGGGAAAGATATGAATGCACAACACATGCCTTATTAACTGAAGCTTATGCGTGACAACTCCTTACCAAGAAAAGAAAGGTTCACCAGAATATTTTTAGGAAAAAGGAGCCAGTCAATGAACACTTTTAACATCAGATGCATATGGTTGCTAACAGGCAGAGCAACATAGATGCACATACACACACTCACAACTTGCTTGGCTTAGCTTACATGCTATTTTTAAGGATTTAATTTTGATCAACAGACAGCATAGTATGTTTAATACTACCAATAAACTATATTGTGCCACCTGTTTAAAAATCGGTTAAGAGCTTCATTAAAAATAAAAATCAAGTTACTACAATCAAGTGACACTTTTTTAATTGTTAATAGTGTAACAAGTTTTAACAATGGATTAAATTTGGAATAGACAACGCAATAAGGTAAGGCAAAGTAACTCAACTATTCATTAATTAATAACAAATAATAAAAAGAACCAAGAGTAAAGTAAACATCTTTTCAACAAATATCCTAAAGTTCATACCAGTCCATTGGATCCCTTTCTGGTGCATCATTGGCTGACATTAAATCATATGCGACAAGCTCAAACATCTTGTTAGCAAATGTTTTATACACGACCCAACAACCTACAAAGTCAAAAATATGAGAATTTTTTAATATTAGCATAAAGAAAGCAATTTCTGCACCTTTAGACTGCGGTGGACAGTAGAAATAAAATGGAATTATACTTTTGACACTAGCATTTAACCTGGTTATTCTTGGGTTTCTTGCTTGAATTTTATGTCTCAGAATTACAAATTCTTTTTCATTAATCTTAAAATTTATGTCTTGAAGACAGAATGCAAACAGAGCATAACACCTACGGATGAGTAATTTAATATAGAATCATCAATGCAGAGAAACTAGCTATACATTGTCAATTTACCAAAGAACATTTGACTATTAGTAGCTTAAAGCTATAAATTGTAAGATAGAATCTGTTTATAAAATTTGATAGTTGTCAACTAATATCAATGAGAAGATTGAAGGAAGTGGGCAAAATACTTGAAAGATAAAAATACCAAGTAATGGTTTGATGCAGTTGGCAGAAATTTCATCTCCTATGAAGTTACAATAAATCAATAATTACCTTAAGAAGATTTCATCAATATGTACAATTAAGAATATCAAGTGTAGTTAGTACTTAGTAGAACTACATGGTAGGTGACACACAGCACTTGTGGTTTTCTAATGGTAGAGTCGTAATCGTGCTTTTCCATTTGTAGGTGAAACACAGCAACGTCTTAATCCAGAAGTTATATCGAACAATGTTTAAGCTTGGAAACCCAAATAAGTTATTTAATTGGTAGACTATACCTCTTGCTCCGTTTGGTTCTTCCCATTTTGATATTCGAGTTCCATCAAATGCTGATGTTACCTATAATTTATTAAACAAGAACAAATTATGGATGCTCTATGGTACAAGTAATGGTAAACATACAAAATAAGCCAGCTGTTACAAACTTACAATCCCAAAAGGCAACTCCTCTGCACTTGCAATGACAGAACCAGAATGTACTCTATTTAACTTTAGAAGTGGCAACTGGAACATATCTTTCCCATAGTTTTCACACTTGTTAAGATTGTAAATCATGTCATCCAGAGCATCTAGCACAACAGGCAATGCTAAAGAAGTTAGTACAGGGTTACCAGCCAAACAAATTTCAACCCTCCCATCTGTATTCATCTTTTTCTCCAGTGAAAGAGCAACAAGTAAGTCATCAAAAGATGGCAACAGTTTCTGAAATTTTGGTTTATTTAGAACTGAATCAATGGGGGTCCTTCTTGTTTTAAAGGGGTAATTGCGAAGATCCAAGAGAACTCCTTTAACGATCCCAAGTATTTCAACAGCTTCAGACTTTGTTACTTCTTCCTCAACAAATTGATAAAGAACTGGATAAAATGCATTATAAGTCTTTGTCACGTGCTCATCTATGCACAATCGAACTGCGCAAGCAGAAGAACTTAGCTTATCAGAACCCAATTCTAATCTGGATTTGCGCCATTCCTCATTCCCACTTCTCCTTCCAGGTAATGAGAGTGACTCATCATCTTCAGAATGTAAACTCCTCTCAAGTTGTTGGTTTTCTTCTCTATCTCGTGCTTCAATAATTGAAAGTATATGAGACGCAAAGCCTCTTCGTCTCTCTTTTGTTATATTAGTGAGTACAGATGACAAAGAAGGCTCAGTAAGCATAGTACGTCGAGATAAGACCTCCAGTTTTTAAAAAGATACAAAAACTCTTTCAGTTATCAATAAATCAAGATATCCTTATGCATGTGAAAAAAGTTTCCATATAAAGAGAACACGAGGAAACAAAGAATATCAATTGTAAAACCTACCTCATGCCATTTCCTTGTGTATCGTTTGGTGACATCATAAACTCCATCTTTTGCTATGGCAATTACATAATTTAATTTCTTATTCCACCTATGGCACAGATTAAAAATAAAGGGTGAGAAAACATGCAAGCAAGATGGAAACTTCTAATAGTACAAGGAGAACTAGTTTCTCACAGTCAATTAAATGGATGAAAGCAATGAATACAGAAAAGAGAAAAGTACTGCAAAAATAAATTATACCCTTTTTCATATAACAATGGCTTGTCATAGATTCCTTCACATGGGTCGAGATGCATCCATCTGTAAGATCATAGGTCCTCAGAACAAATACTTTCCAACCAGAAATAGTATTAACAGAAGATTACAAGAACCAGCAACTCTTGAGTCAATTTTACCTTCCCAATAATTGAGAGAAGCATTCGGTCCAAACATGATCCGTGAAATCCAGGATCTGGAGATCAACCAAAATCCAAGACAGAAAACGTATTCCTCAAAAGATAAACAAGCACATTTATACCCCAGGTTGAAAATATGTGAAAGGAAAAGTTCAAAAGACTTGAAAGTTCATCATAAAAAAATTAACTAGCAAAACTGTAAGGAAATAAATATTCAATACTCATTTTCCCTAGTTAGTGAAAACTGGCCCAATCAACCCAAAGAAATCAAAGAACACCAGCACAAAAATACCATACAATAAGAATCAAGATAAATTAAAAAATTGAACTTAGATTTACATTTCTAGCCCAGGCCTATCTTTTCCTTATGGCTCATAACTTAATTTAGAATATCCAGCATGACTTCTGTTTTTTCTATGTATATGTGAACTGAAAATATATTTCATGTAACACTAAAATTAGATCATTTACCAAAACACAACATTGTCATGTAGATATTTAATACATGACATTTGGCACAGCATTTGTAATATCAGAATCATCATGTGCTATGCCAAAAAATAAGCACCTCTGATTCAAAATCAGTTCTAAATCAAACATCCTAGAAATTAATGATAAGGAAAAGTTACACATTATCTACTCAATTCTAGCATAATATTTTAATATAGATCAGCATATTGAAAAGACTGAATTTCATCCAGTTACAAACCAGACGTGACTCATAGCCAAAAGCTCGACAATAGAGTGTAAAGCAATTGGCCCATTCCCCACAGCGGCCCTTTCTTGTTTCCACAATCTGCAAATTGAAAGAGAATAAAGAAGTATCCAACATAAATGTGATAGGCATAGTATGGTTTGGCAGTTGGCCAAGTATATATATTATAATATTAACAATTTGACACAAGTTGAATACCTTCATTGGATCATTGTATCGTGGAAAGCGAGTCAGTTTCGAGCAAAAGGTGCAGCTGTGTTGTGGAAAGGTAAAATGTGAGTAACTGGAAAATTAAGTAAGTCGGGCAAATAAAAGAAGCTAAAAAATAATTCTTGAACACAAGCATAAATCTACTAAAATGTTTTATAAGCAACAGGCCATAATTCAAGTAACAATAATCAAATAACTGGTTATCACCAGATCTCCTAAATGTAAGTAGATATGTATTGGAGGAATACATCAGCGCATTTAAAAAAAGGATTTGCCAGCCAAGACCTGTTCTAAATAAATTCAAGAAGGAAACAGCCTGTTGAACTTGGCGACTAGGATACTCTCAAATTTAAAGAAACTATTAAGTTGATCATAAATAAAAAAAATAAAAAAACGATGCAGACAGATCAGTTGATTAACTATAGCTTAAAGAAGGTTTATGATTAGTTCAAATACATGATGTCACAAGAAAATTAAGATATATATATATATATATATATATATATATATATATATATATATATATATATCAATTATGATAATTACCAAAGCCACATTTCTGGTCTCAGTACAAGGAAAACAAAGCAAACTCACATTGAATTAAGGTATAAATTGAATGGTCATACCGATAAAGTTCAACCCTGGAAGCTCCATAAAGAGTCTCAGAAGGAAGTGCAGCAGTCATACCCTGGTTTTTAGTTTCGTTGCCACAATCATGACAAGATGGTGAATTCACCCAACTATTAGATGAGGACAAGAAAGAAAAAAAGAAGATCAGATGGAATTAGCAAAAGAGAACAGGTATGAAGGTTAAGTGGTGTCTTTCACAGTGACAAATAAAAAAGATGCAGCTCAGCCGCAAACATTGCATGAATCATATTTGAGTTAAACCATAATAACTCAGCAATTTTATGAAGAAGAGACCTGTGATCTACTATGTTCTGTCCTTACGGAGTCATTAGCCGTTAACGCATTTGATTCATTTTGCATTAATAAAAAACAGAATAGCCAATATAATAACTCATTTAAACCTGAAGGATTGTTTGAACCAGAAAAGCAGCTGCAGCAGGAAAGCATGGTCTTGTTCTATTTTTGATGGCTTGAAGTTCCCCTCCTGGAAAATGATTATCAGCCTTACCGATTACAAAACAATTGTAGCAGAATGCGAAAAGCTATGCTTATGAAATGACAACAGCATCACAAGCTCAAAAGATAAACATCATATAAAACCACGAGCAGAAAGGGAGATATCCACACACAAGTGCTTGTCAAAATGAAGACAGACAAATCCAAGGTGAATGAATTTCCACAATAGTCAGACAGATGGTTATAGTAAAAGAGTTGGTTTAGAGTTAACACAACACAACATGACAATGGCATCCTCTAAAAAGAAATTACATATTTGATTACTATGAACAAAGATGTTGTCTTGAAAGAGAAAAAAAATACAACTCTTACCTTGGCCAAAGAGACCAAGGCTTTCTCCTCAAGCTCTTCCACACGAACGGTCTTCCGAGCAGCCTCCTGGCGCCTTTCATCCTCATACTGCAAGATATTATCATAACAATCAACAAATGGAATCAATTGTTATATAATATTCACAAGGACAACATGTAATCCTGTTTCTTCTACAGAGCAAGCATCTCGTTAAACCAATTAGCGTTTATCTACTTTCCTGCAAAACTAAACCTCGTTTTAACATGCTATGGAGCTTCATGATTATGAACTAATTGTCTAGTGCTCCTCATTCAAAACAAATATAAGAATAAGCTGAAAAATACCATGAGGACTTGAGAAACGTAAGGCCGTACTCTACTCTCAAATTGCTGAGTGTCTTCACTAGCAACATATTGCTGCAACATAAGCGCTTCCTCCTCTGCCTGTAAAGATATAGTGTACGTTGTATATACAGGGAAAGAAAGTTGAAAGTTGAAATACATATAGAACGCACTCCTCCCTTTCCAAAACTTGCAACTACAGTGAACGCAGAAAAGGAAAATGTGTTTAATGCAGCAAACCTGCAAGAGTCTGGCGAATTCCTCATCTGATTTCAGAAAATCGGCAGTGCTTGATTCGGGTTCGGGTTCAAGTACTGGGTCGTTGATGGAGACGAGTCGTAGTTTTTCAGAAATAGAGATGAGATCAGAGTCAGTGGCCAGTGGGGTATCATGTTCGGCTCCATAAATCTATCAAATGCAATTAAGAAAAAGAATCAAACTTTACGAATGGGTGAGAGGATTGAGAATAAATAAAAATAAAAATAATCAGAAAATAGAGGGAGGGAGGAAGGGAAATGGGACCTTTTGCTGATCAGGTGGAACAAAAGTGAGTGAGAAGAGCTGGAATTGAAAAACCTGCAGTGGTGAATGAAAATTGAGAGTGAATAATTGACAGAGAGAGAGAGAGAGAGCGCGAGAGAGAGAGAGAGGGGCATACTTCGAAGCCGTCATCGGTGTCGTAATCAAGATCAAAGTTGGAGTTATTGTGGAGAACATGAAATCTCCGAGCCACCATTTTTTATTTTCTCTCAGCTTATCTTCAACTTCCAATTTTATTATTTTAGCTCTGATCTTCACGGATACGCTAAGACATCATAATGTTCCCGGATGACTTAATCCCATTTGGGAGGAAAAATATGAGTCTTGCTGAATTGACTTTTTTTTTTTTTTTTCTTTATTTTTTTTAATATAAAGAAATTTAAAATTGCAGGTAGGCAAATTTTTTTTCTAAAATATTATTATTTTAATAAATATTTATGAGTATATAGTTATTCAAAATTATTTACGGATCTATTGCACTCATTCATGCTTAAGTTAGGCGTGATTCCCAAGGCATTTACGCTTAATTTAAGCGTGACTCGTCTCGTATTGACATGTGGCACAAAAAAGTCAATTTACATACCGTAAAACTTTGAAAAGTCATAACTTTTGACTCGGATATCCAAATCAGGTAAAAAAAAAAATTGATTCCACAAATTTTTTCGAAATCCACGTAATGACACCTCATTTGACATATTTTATCTCTCAGAAAACAATTCATATTTGCAATAATGGTGTTATAAGAGCGTTTAAACCATAAGACTCTGAGTTCTGCATTTGTGATTTAATATAAAAAAATAAATAAAGATTTGATTTGTGATTTAAATTAAAAAAATCAATTTTTTTAATTTTTAATATAAAAAATAAATAAAGATTTGGTTTGTGATTTAAATAAAAAAAATTAAAAATAAATATTATTAATAAGGAAAATAAAATAAATATTTCATTTATGATTTAAACTCAAAAATTAATTTAAAAAGTTTGTATTAATACAGAAAATAATTAAATAAATATTCTAAATTTCTAAGAAAGAAAGATTTTATTTTTGAAAAGCATTCATAAGCTTCCAACGTATCCAGCCATAAAGACTCAGCAAGACTCAACCATTATTTTGTATTAGAGACGTTTTCAAACTTAAGAGTTCAGATTCGATTTCAGGTTTAATTTTTTTTTCTTATACCAATTAGTCTCTTTTTTATTTTTATTTTAAATGTATTTATTTTTTCTCGCTTAGGCATATATAATTTAAATGACTTTAAAGAAAAAAGTCATAAAACATTAAATGCCTTTTTTTTCAAACACTTAGTAGAAGTATATATTTTAATATGATATTAAATATCCTTATTTATAGATGGACTAATTTACTTTGGTGTCATCTTTGTAGTACCATTATTGCAAATTTGAACTGTGTTTGTAAGAGATAAAATATATCAAATGAGATGTCTTTGCGTAATTGCATAGATCTCGAAAAGTTATGTGGAATCAAAAAAAGAATTATCTGATTCGGATACCCGAGTCAAAAGTTATAGCCTTATAAAGTTTTACGGTTAAATTGTTAACTTTTGTGCCACGTGTCAACACCAGACGAGTCATGCTTAAATTATGCGTGAATGTCATGGGAGTCACGCCTAATTTCGGCGTGAATAGTCACGCCCAATTTGAATGTGAATGAGTGCAATATATTTGTAATCAGGTTCAGAACAGCAACCTATTCGTAATTATTTATTAAAAAAATAATATTTTAAATTTTTTCCCGTGCAAGTAAGGCTGTTCTATTTCATTTTCTATTTTTAATTTTTAAAGATTCCTCTAAAGCAATTAAATAAAATACTTATTTATTTTTAATTTAATTTACATTGCGATCAGACCATTCAACCACTAATCAAAGAGATCTTCCTTTGTGAATCTTCCTGCCCAGAATAGGACTTGGAAGCTCCAATCAAAATTCCAAATGGTCAAACTTTAGAATCATATGTGACGAAATTTGTGTCAAAGTTTGAGTTTGAGTTTGATTTTTTTTTTTTTTTTTAAAAAGTTTGAGTTTGATTTTAGTGGTGAATTTGAGAGAGATGCCTCTCGAAATATCGCTATTGTTATAGATCTCCAATAAACAAATCCATTATTAAAATTGAAAAAAAATGTGATGAAATCTCACATTAATTGATAATGGGTTAAATGAAGTCTATATAATTGGAAGGATCCATAAATTTAATGTATTTAAAGTTTTGGGTTGAGATATAATGTTAGACTTACTTTAATATAATTTAACTCATTGATAATAGTCGGAGTGTATATTAATATGGATTTTATATTGAAGGATGAGATTGTTAATATATTCAAAAATGGCGAAGTATCACGTTAATTGATAATGAATTATGTGAAAGCTATAAAGTGGAAGGATCAACGACTCGATACTTTGAAATTTTGGATTGAAATATATATAATATCACACGTATCATATTCCTCGGGCTCCCCGCCTAACAATTCTTTCAGCATTAATGGTAGTAAAACAATGGAAAATTTTGCACAAGATAGAAAATACCATGAAACTGAAACATATACACCATAATATGGCACAGATATTATTATGCAAGGTTTCAAATGGGAAGCAAGCAAAATGTCCTACACATAAATAAGACCTCCAACGCGCACCCGTCGACTTTAATTCTCAACGGTACCACTACCACCAATTAACCACCTAAAATAACACTCCTCGGTCTTCCCCTTTTGCTATATGTATATATATACACATAGATATTTGCTAATTTAGTTCATCAAATGAATACAACATAGAGATTCGTTCCACTCGCATGATCTGGTCTGGTGTGTGTGTGTGTGTGTGGTGTGTGTGTTAGAGGCAAAGAAAGCCACTACTGAAAGTGACAAGCATGTCCACCTCCAGGGTAACCCTGCACTCAAAACTAACTGCTGTGTCCAGCAAACCCGGGTCGGGTAAGACCCATACCCTATCCGCGTTGGACCATGCCATGGGTTTCCACACTGTCCACATCATATTCTACTACAAGAACGACGACAACTTGTTTGGATCGTTTGATATTGATCCGTTGAGGGAGTCATTGTCCGAGGTTCTTACTATGTACCCGACAATGACGGGTCGGTTGGCCCGAGGAATGGATGGTAACTGGCAAGTTCGGTGCAGTGATGCGGGTGTTCGGGTCTTAAAGGCCAAAGTGGATACCACACTCGATGAATGGCTCTCATCTGGATCCCAAGAGTCACATTTAATTGCTTGGGATGATATGCCAGATGATCCTAGCCAATGGTCCCCCTTTCGAATTCAGGTATCATTTCCTATTTTCCTATTTCCTATTAACAACTTGATTATAGCAAGATATTTCATTAGCATTTATATTTGTTGTATTTGCCAATTGCATATTCTTTTCTTACAATAAAGGGTCTAACTTATACAGCACTCACGTTGTTTACTTCCTTTCATTTATATACAGTTTAATTAGACAACATAAAATGGACAATCTTTCCCAGAGAGAGATCATGTGATTTCAGACTGAGACTTTACTCTTCATCCCTTATACAACTATTATAGTTTAGGAAGTCATATTAATTAATTAATTATTAATTACATCACACAGGACAACAGTTGATTTCCGTCCATCAACAACTAAGATAAGGAGTAAGACTTAAAAGTCTTACTTTCCCCAATCTTTCAGATATGTTTTTTCTTATATAGTTAGAATGGATGATTTGGTAAAGAACAATGTAGAATATTGATTCGTGGGTATTGCAGATAAACAGCTTCCGAGAAGGAGGTGTTGCAATAGGACTAAGTTGTAGTCACATGCTTGCTGATCTAACTTGCGCAGCATCATTCCTTAAATCATGGACTGAAGCACACCGACGCTTGCCCATTACCAACCCTCCTTTCTTCAGTTCACTTCGAAACGCAGATGCTACGTCTCTCACTCGCTATGCAACAATTCCATCCACAAAGACACAAACATCTCCTTCAAGAAACATGGCCACGGCCACTTTCAAGTTTTCAAGTTCAAGCATCGAGCTGTGTCTCTCAAAAGTCCATGATGAATGCCCCAATGCTACCCCATTTGATTTCCTTTCGGCTCTGTTTTGGACTCGTATTGCTCGCTTGAAGCTTCCAAAAAACCATGACCAAACTCATTCTCTATCGATCTGCACCGACTTTAGGAGGCTCCTGAAAGAACCCCTCCCAATTGGGTATTTCGGAAATGCTGTGCATTTTTCAAAGCTTTCACTGAAAGTGAAAGACACTGACAGTGAACGATTAGGAAGCATAGCTAGTCAAGTGCATAGGCACTTGGAAGGGGTTGCAGAGGAAGAAATCTGGTGTGCCATAGAATGGTTTGAGTCGCAAAAGGAATCAGAGGGAGGGAAGTTCAAATCACCTACTTGCATGTATGGGCCTGAGTTAACTTGTGTTTGCATGGAGCACATGATAATTTCGTCAGAAGAAGCAGATCAACCGTTGCTATATGCTGCAATGTTTAGCAAAAATGAGAAGCCAGCTCATGTTTCATGTCACGTGGGGAATATGAATGGTGAAGGTTTAATCATGGTGATGCCTTCCTTAGAAGGAGGGCTTGCAAGAACGGTGATGGTGATGCTGCCAGAGGAAGAACTCCCTCAACTATGCAACGATCAAGTTATATCGCAGCTGGAGCCTACAATGCTTCTTACTGGTTGTGTGTTAGACCATTGATTTTCCTTTGGCTTAAATAATCCACAGGGAAGTTATTTTTTAATTTATATGTGTGTGTGCGTGTGCAGGGAAGTTATTTTTTAATGTGTGTGTGTGTTGAATTAACCCAGAGATTTGATGGTGATTGTACCTAGACTTCTGGGAGGTGATAAGGAGAGAAGAATAAAGCTTCAGTTGAGTATATGTTTATATTCCGAGGGGGAGCCTGTTTGTGTAATGTAAAATTTCGTTCATATTATTAAGCTGCCAAATAAGACAAGTATTCATAATTTCACCTCTCTCCAGAGAATGGTTTTTCTTTTTTCATCTCATTACATAAACATTTTGTGAATATTTATGAAAAATAGATATAGACACAAAAAATTTCACTTAACTAAAATGAAAGCATCCCTTTCCTGAAAAAAATAACACGTGAAGGAAAATCTTGGATTCAGATTCCACTGCTCTGTCTCACCATTTAATAACAAGCACATAATTAAGTATCATATGTTTTGGGAGATACCCGGTATCAGACCAACAACAACTAGTTTTACTGAGATAAGTTTAAATTTGGGAGGCATGCAGAGAGACCGAAATGATAAGAAATTATCTGAGTTCTGAGGTGCATAATTGGTATCGAGCTATGCTTTTGCAGGAGTATTTGCAAACTTCCATGAGCATTTAACAAAAGATTCAGTAGTCCGTTCCCCTGCCACCTCAGATATTGATACAGCATCTGTCATCTCCGTCAATTCATCTTTGCTTAGCTTCACTTCAATTGAACCGATATTACTATCGAGATTTTTTACCTTAGTTGTTCCTGCAATACATGAGAAGTTCTAGAAAAGTTATTTACAGGAAAAAATAAAAAACATAATCGAAAGGTCTCTAAATGTTGTTTTAGGTAACATCATATGGTATAAGCCCATGAAGAAGGGGGTTCACGTATATGTTCAGAGGACACATTAATTGTTGAACGGTGTAAAAGACAAAAAATAAATTCCCAATTCAAAGGAAATGACCAGAACACATTATACAGCCTGCTCAAAACATGTAACATGAGGAGAAAGCAGGTAGAAAATTCAAATTTCCCTAGATGGATGATGACAATATTAACTGGGAGGGAAAATGGAAGAAGAGGAAGAAAGGGAAATGACGAGAAAACGGGTGAGAGGTGATTTCTAGCTTCTGAAGAGAAATGGTAGTTTATGTTATTTGAAATGTCAAGGACTCGCGGGACAATTTTGATCAAAGAAAGATTCAGGTGCTTCCCAGTTAATTTCTCTCAAGTTCTTTATTCACCAGAAATGAAAACGTAGTTATGTTCCCAGAAGATCCATCCAAGCGAGCCTAAAATGAAGAATTTTCTATAAATAATATTTTTTCAAATAATATCATATAATCTTCATCATAACAGATTGATTCTAGCAGATAATGTTACTTCCCTCCCAGTACAATCAAATTATATTCGCAAGTAAGCTTCGCAGAGACCAAATTTCATACAGATGACAAAATGGAAAATCACTCACCAGGGATGGGTACCACATCATCTCCTTGATGAAGAATCCATGCAAGAGCAAGTTGTGAAGATGTACAGCCATGCTTCTGTGCCAACTTTTCTATCATAGAATATAAGATCTTGCACTTGTCAAAGTTCTCCCCTTGTAACCTTGGTTGGATTGCCTGGTGAAAAGATATGTAGGTGAACAATGAACAAGGCCAATTATCAACATAAACAAAGGGATTAAGTCCATACCAGAAAACTGTCTGCAGGTATACTTTCCGTGACAGCCTTGCCGCCAAAAAATCCTCGGCCAAGGGGACTGTATGGTACTATTCCAATTCCAAGTTCCCTGTAAGTGTTGACACCAAAGTCATTTAATGAAGATTCATGGTGGATATCAAAAAGAACCAAGTCAGGAAATGAAAAAAATAATTTGGTCGGGTATACACAAATGAAAAGGTTCCAATTCAAGCAAGTAAAGGCAAAACTACTTGATCAAAGTATATCTCTAGAAATCAAACAACTTTCTTCGCTTGAAAGATATAACAGGAAAAAAAAAAGGGTATGTTGCTTCCATCTCTGAAACCACTAAAGATGTATAAACCCAATGATTCAAGGAACCATTTTCAGTTGTTCAACAATTATATCAGGATGAAAAATATAAGTAAATTGCAAAGGAAACAGACCAAAAAGAAAGGTATAGAAACCGCACAATAAATGAAATTGATACCTCAAAATGTTTGTTTTCCCTTTAAGTTATTTGAGAGATATCGAACTTGAGTTATGAAATTGCAAAAAGAGTGATGTTTTTCTTTGGATAAAAGGAAATGACTTAACTCCTTCCGGAAGGAATGGCAATAACCTTATAAACAGAAACCGTAAAAACAAAACTTGAGATTTCATGCTGACTCAACTTAATCTTTACTTTTTCGGTGAAATAATAGTTAAAACTTAAAACCCCTATACATATTTGGGCATAATCATAGGTAATCCACAAGTTCCACTTTAAAACCTGTAAGGTGGAGATTTTAAGCAATTCAAACTCAAAATCAATAGTGACCGGGAGTAGGAAATTAATCATATAGGTCAGCAAATACTCCAAACAAACAACAAATAACATTAGGACATCCTGCACACGTACCTGCAAAGTGGAACAATATCTTGTTCAATTTCACGAGTCCAAAGGGACCACTCCATTTGCACAGCAGTCACAGGATGAACAGCATGTGCCCTCCTAATTGTGTCAGGACTAGCTTCAGATAGTCCTATGTACCTTATCTTTCCCTCTTGAACCAGCTTCTTAAGCTCTCCCATCTATCATTCAAATAAACCGAATAGCAAATCAAGGACAAAGCTACCAAATTATCCCAAATCAATAAAGAGAAGTATTAAAAAAAAGAAAAGAAGAAGAAGGTTTCACTGACAGTGTCCTCAATGGGTACTGTGGTGTCAATACGGTGCTGATAATAGAGATCAATGTAGTTGACACCAAGGCGGTGGAGGCTAGCCTCACAACAGGATCGAACATATTCAGGGTTACCGTTAACTATGACATTATCAGATTCCATTCTAACAATCCCAAACTTCGTGGCAATCTGAACTTGATCTCGAGGTAAGTCCTTGAGCGCCTGAGAGAGAGTTAAAATGTTATGTTTCAATTACATTGTTCCATTCTTTGAAAAAAATTCAAATGAAAAGAAAGAAAAGAAGAGAAAAGAAATTGAAACATATCTGTTAAAGTGGGTAGTTATATAACTAACTAACCTTTCCGACCAAAACTTCATTGGCATGGGCTCCATAAAAATCTGCAGTATCAAAGAAGGTGATCCCTTTGCTGAAAGCGTGCTTGATCAGAGAGATGCCAACCTCTTCGGTAACAGGAGCGTTATACACTCCGGTGAGACCCATACACCCATATCCCAACTTGGAAACCTACAAGTACCAACCATAAACAAGAAATAGAAAAATGGTTCACAAAAGGAAGCAACTCAAAGGTGATGATTTGAATGAAGCATCACGAAAATACTAACTTACCTCGAGGCCTTGGCTTCCTAGCTTCACTCGAGGAATATCTGCCATTTTTGTATTTCCCTCTTTCTCTTCAAATTTTCCACCTATATATCTCTCTTTGTCTTCCGTTTGCTGAGTGTTCGTGTTATTTGGTTGGTGAAGTGAACTATTTGAGCATCATGTCGCCGGTCGCCACCTACTCAATTGCACTACCATATCCATCCAGTTAAAACCGAAATTTTACCTAAAGAGGATAAAAATTGTAAAACTCTAATACAAGAAGGAGGGTTTTATAAGGGATATGTTGTAGGAAAAGTGATTGTGTAATGTTATAGAGATTCGTTTTGCTTGCCTTAATTTTTTATTTATTTTTTTGTTTTAAAAAGTGTGGGTCCCACAAAATGTTGTGGGTGTAGGAAAGTTTGTTGTGTTATGTTAAAGGATAAAACGAAAACCCTAAGAAAAATAGTTAAAAATTATAAAATCGTAAAAGCGTTTGGAATTTTGATACAATTGTTTTGATTGAAAAAGAATCATGGCCTGGGCCATGTGAAGAACTGGGCTGGTCTTCTGGTTCTACATACCCATTAAGTTCTTGGACATGTTTCAGCAAAGTCTTCTTGAAACAGGGATTTAATGGATAATCATTGAAATATCTCCAAAGATATGCAATATTCTGAGACCATGACCATACCCATATTAATTTATTTAAAGGGTTATACTTACAATTTTTTTATAATTATATCTTAATTATTATTTTTATTAATTAATTATTATTATTTATTATAAATTAATAATAAATAATAAATGAATTTAATTTATAATAAATAATAATTTTAATTGATAAAAATTAACGATTAAAATATTATTATAAGAGATTCTAAATGAAAATAAATTGTAAGTAATTAAGTATAACTATTCTCTTTATTTATTTATTAATCTTAATAAGTTATAACATAATGAAACTGTTAAAATATTTGCTCGATTAAGTTGGTCAAAAGTGGACTAGAAGGTGGAAGAAAAAAAAGAAAAAGAGGGTAGAAAATGCAGCACTTCAATATCAAAAATAAAAAATGTAAAAAATGTTGGTACGGGCCTCATGTGTGGTCCACTTCAAATTCTTGCACTACTTTAAGGTAGAGTTATTTAATAGAGTGATAGATACTCACGTTCAAGAGTTGGGTGATCGATTTGATAATGTCAATACCAAGTTGCTTGAGTGTTTGAGTTGTCTTCATCCTCGGGATTTATTTGCTACTTTTAACAAAGAAAAGTTGATTGAGTTTGCTAGATTTTATCCGTTGGAGTTTAATGAGCTTGCAGATATTCCTTTTCTTTCTTCAAGTCTTAGTAATTTTATTGTTGATGTAAGAGCTGATTCTGATTTTGTCAATTTGAAAAGGATTTCTAACCTTGCTTTGAAGATGGTTGAGAAGAGAAAGAATATTGTTTATCCAATGGTCTATTTGTTGATAAAGTTGGCACTCCTTCTACAGGTAGCAACGACTAGTGTAGAGCGAGTTTTTTTTGCAATGACTTTTGTCAAGGATAAGTTGCGCAATCGGATAAGTGATGATTGGTTTAACGCATGCATGCTAACTTATGTTGAACGTGATATATTTGAGAAGATTGATGATGAAGATATAATGCAATATTTTCAAGCAATGAAGAATCGGAGAATGCTTTTGTAATCGTTCTATTGTAATAGCTTAGTTTACTCTTGATTATTTTCTTTTCTTGTTTATATTATTTAGTTTGGCCACTTTGGAACTTTTTTGCATTTTCCTCTATTTTAGTGTACCAGCTTTTCATGGAGGTTAGTCACTGTTAATTATGCCAATGCAGATGTTAAATATCTTTTTTCTATTGAAATTAAATGTCACTAATCCTGATGTATACTATTTTTCAGGTAATAACTGAAGAGATAGGATGACTTGATACTTGCTTCACTAGTAACATTTAATTTATGCATCATTTTTACTAGTTTATGTTTCTATCTGCCTAGAGTTGCTATTCACCCTATATGTTTTCCTTCTTTCTTGACATTCTTAGTCCGGAGTTGCTAAGTATTTGTCTGTAAAATCATTGGACTGCTTATGACAAATCAGGGTAGGCTGGTTTTGTTGGGAAAGGTTATATCATTCTTATCAATGCAGGAGCATTGATAAGTAACTTCTCCATGTGAAAGTTATATCAAAAAAAAATTCAGAGGCGCTGCCCCCGAACCCCGCCATTAAATGTGCGGACATGAATTATTTTATCTAAGTCTGCCCCTGCTTACTTTTGATTCCAGTCTGCCATCGACCTCACCTACTGTTTTTGGTATTTGAAAAATGCTATTAAATCCATTAAAAAGAAAATAATTAAATAATAAATATTATTCACAAACTATAGGTGTGTGCACAGAGGACTTGGTGCTGTTATGGGACATGGTTTGTTACGATCAATTGACGAAACCTGATGAATAAAAAAGATCAAAATGTACTTATTTAGAGTAATGAGTATTAAAAATATTTTGCTACTTAAATGTATTAAAATAAAAGAGGGACATAGAGAGTTTTGTGTGTATTTGTTTCAGTTCCTAAAAAAAATAATGATTCTTTACCAAAAACTTGTTCAAGAGGTTTAAAAAAGATTTTATTTTTTTCACTCAAAATAAACCAATAGAACATGCACTCGGTGAAGCACTAGGGATAGGCACAACATCCTTGCTTTTTTGGAGCACCAATGCTAATGCAAGACCTAATTAGAAAGACCCATATTTCCAAGTTTTATTGCTAGCTTGATGACTGGATCTTTTCTTTTGGTAGCTGCAAGCGTGGTCAAACAGAATCAAAGAATGAAAGAGGCACTCAATAAGGGATTCCACTGGGCCATTAGAAACGTAAAGAAATGTCATTATTTACATGGAAAAACTACTCTTACGTTGTTAGGGAGTAGCTTTTTTTCCTACACATCCATTCATTTACATGTAATTTAATTTAATTTAATTTTTTTTAAAGTGAATGAACTTCATTCATAATTATGTCTATGATAACAGAGAATTATTAGGAACAGTAACCAAAATGTTATTGTTCACTAACTTTTTTACCTAAATGTCACGCGAACAGTGTTATTTCTCAATCTGCCACAGGGGCAAGTTCGCTACTCGATGTAGCGAACTCAGTTTACTGACGTGTCACGTTTCTAGTGGATACTAACTTGATTTTAACCAAGTTCGCCTACCATGTAGGCGACCTTCATTTTTTTTATTAATTTTTTTTTTAAATTTGATACTTGTTATCCATTAAAAATGTGACACGTCAACAAACTGAGTTCGCTACACAGGGTAGCGAACTTGCCCTTGTGGCATATTGAAAAATAACACTGTTCGCGTGGTATTTAAGTAAAAAAATTGATGAATAGTCACATTTTGCTCAGTGTTCCGAATTATTCTTCAAAATTTTATAATATTAAAATTGCAATAGTTTTATCTGTTCAGTAAGTTTTAACATCTTAGGGCATAAATTTTCGTGGAAAGAACGAGGAAAATGATCGCCAGCCTTGTTCTTTGTCCTTCAATGCACATAGAGGACTAGTTATCCACCAATAACTTATTCTGTGACCGTAATAGGCCTTGGAGTTTGTTAATGCGAGTGTATTCAATTCAAGTAGGTATTTTTTTTTTCATATTTCATAAAAATGTTACCACTTAAAAAAAAAATCGCCATATTAAATTTTTTTACTTTAAAAAAAAAAGATGTACCCAATTAATTACATTATGTGCACAAGAAATTTCCCATAATTTGTTGGGTTGCTCTATACCGTAACAGTGAGTTGAGACTTTTTTTCAAGTGAGTTCTACATTTATTATATTCAGTCTTTTATTATTAATGTCTCTTTAATTTTTAATTTTAATTTTTTCAATAAAAGAGTGCCTATTCGCATCATATACTCGTTCATGGGCAACTTTTTTTTAACGAAGAACTTAGTCCCACGATTAGGAGTCTGCATGAAGCGGTTTATAATTGGTTTTAACAAAAATCAAAGCGAATCAGTTTTAAACTGTTTGATTTTCAAATCGAACCGCTTTTTTTCTTTTAAAACCGGCTTTTAATTTTTTAAACCGATTCCAAAACGGGTTTATGGTTTATAACCGGTTTTAATTCAAAATCGATTTTAAATCAAAACCGGTTATCAAGTTCAAAACTGATTTTTTAACAAATTCAAAATCGATTTTTGATGGATTGTGTTATTTTAAAAGTAGTCGTTTGTTTCTCCGGGTTATAGGTAGTTGATCAACTATTTCTTGCAAAAATCTTCATTGTTTTGGAACTCTCATGACGAAATAATTTTTATAGAAATTATTTCACGTTGTTTTGAAAGTGATTGGTAGAAAAATAATTGAATTATTTTAAAACTATAGAAAAATTACTCTTCATTCTCTCAAGATTTATGTTACTGAGAGTTTCATAACAGAAGAATTAAAAGTACAATTAAGTCTTCTTTAATGAGTCAAAATAACATTCATTAATTTATCTAATTAATAATTCAAACTTTTAAGTATTTAGGAAGTTCATTTATTACAGAAATAAAATCTGAGAAAAAAAAAATCGTTTTCCTTATAACAAAGCGTTGAAACTTGAAACTAGTTTCGGCAATAACAGCGCACACTCGCTGTATCCCCTGTTCTTTAAAAAGCATGAAGCCAAAAACAACTTAATTAATTTAATTACTAAATAATGATATTAAATATTAATAAAATAACAAAACACCATAGAGCGTAGGCTTGGCAAAAAGGAACCAACCCATCGGGTTGGCTCGTAACCCGGCTAAAATGAGCCAGGTTGGATTAGGGAAAATGAGTTAGTAACTCGAGTCAGCCCGACTCGTTTCAGCTCGAAAAAAATCGAGTCAACCCACGGGTCAAACGGGTTGGCTCGCGGGTTATGATTTTTTTTAATATACAAGTATAAAAATTAATGAAGGTAAAGTGGAAAGTTAAAACTTAAAATTCCAATTCCAAAGACTCAAACGAAAATACCCTGCAGCTGCCAATAAGTCCAAAACTGTGCAATAAGGACTTTTTTTTATTGTATGTGTGTCAGTGTGAATGTGGTGTCAACTGCCAATAAGTCCAAGTCCAAATGCAAAAGGAATTTTCTATGGTTTATCTGTATAATGTCTTTGTATTGAATGAATTAATAATTTAGGGGAA